TTTATTTGAATCAATTGTTTCTACACTAGTTTTAATTCCCTGGCATGAATTGTGAAGGGCATTGTTTTACCCTCTGAAATTCTGTGATGAATCTTGTTGATGCAAGGCAGATATGTATGGAAAAGTTATTGCTACCTTTTTCTCTGTTTCACTGTTGGGTTCAAAATTCAAGGTCAAGGTTGAGAGAAAAGTTCAAAGGTCAAATTATTGTAATACTTTAAAAGTATAGCTTAGTTAGGCTTGGCTCAATTGGTTTGACATATATTTGTCTTTCTATATCCATTTGACCCCATGTCCTGATGAAGCCTCGCCGCACCAAGAGGCGAAACTAGTCGGCCAATAAAGATAACTACCAACTTACTGGTGACGCTTGAGCTCGTCATAATTAATTCTTCCTGTTAACATTTACATATCTCACAAATCGCCTTACATATCACTAATCGCCTTACATATCTCACTAATCGCCTTATATATTTCACTAATCGCCTTACATATCTCACTAATCGCCTTACATATCTCACTAATTGCCTTACATATCTCACTAATTGCCTTACATATCTCACTAATCGCCTTACATATCTCACTAATCGCCGTACATTTCTCACTAATCGCCTGACATATCTCACTAATCTTCTTACATATCTCACTAGTATTACATATCTCACTAGTCGCCTTACATTTCTCACAAGTTGCCTTACATATCTCACTAGCCTTACATATCTCACTAGACGCCTTACATATCTCACTTATAGCCTTACATATCTCACTAGACGCCTTACATATCTCACTACACGCCTTACATATCTCCCTAATTGCCTTACATATCTCACTAATAGCCTTACATATCTCACTAATAGCCTTACATATCTCACTAATCTCCTTACATATCTCACTAATAGCCTTACATATCTCACTAATCGCCTTACATATCTCACTAATCGCCTTACATATCTCACTTATCGCCTTACATATCTCACTAATTGCCTTACATATCTCACTACACGCCTTACATATCTCACTTATCGCCTTACATTTCTCACAAGTTGCCTTACATTTCTCACTAGTCGCCTTACATATCTCACTAGTTGCCTTACATATCTCACTAGTCGCCTTACATTTCTCACAAGTTGCCTTACATATCTCACTAATTGCCTTACATATCTCACTACACGCCTTACATATCTCACTTATCGCCTTACATATCTCACTAATTGCCTTACATATCTCACTAATCGCCTTACATATCTCACTAGTCTTACATATCTCACTTGTCACCTTACATATCTCACTAATCGCCTTACATATCTCACTAGTCTTACATATCTCCCTAGTCGCCTTACATATCTCACTAATCACCTTTCATATCTCACTAGTCGCCTTACATATCTCACCAATCACCTTTCATATCTCACTAGTCGCCTTACATATCTCACTAATCACCTTTCATATCTCACTAGTCGCCTTACATATCTCACTAATCCCCTTTCATATCTCACTAGTCGCCTTACATATCTCACTAATTGCCTTACATATCTCACTAGTCTTACATATCTCAATAATCGCCTTACATATCTCACTATTCGCCTTACATATCTCACTAGTCGCCTTACATTTCTCACAAGTTGCCTTACATATCTCACTAATTGCCTTACATATCTCACTAGTCTTACATATCTCACTAGTCGCCTTACATATCTCACTAATCACCTTTCATATCTCACTAGTCGCCTTACATATCTCACTCATCGCCTTACATATCTCATTTGTCTTACATATCTCACTAATCGTCTTACATATCTCACAAGTCACCTTACATATCTCACTAATCGTCTTACATATCTCACTAGTCGCCTTACATATCTCACTAGTCGCCTTACATTTCTCACTA